AAATTATTTCACTCAATGATTTCATATGTACAGTACTACTATATGCTGCTCCTGTATGGGCAATTACTTATCATGATAAAATGGAAATTGTTCTTGCCATATATCTTCAAAGAATTTTTATGTTATTCCATAAAATTCCAGCTTATATGGATTGGAGTTTGGTGTTTCTAGAATATAGGTATTAATAATAATAATAGTACCATATTTTCCGGCATATAAGATGACTTTTTAACTCAGGAAAATCTTCTCAAAAGTCGGGGGTCATCTTATATGCCGGGTGTTGTCATATATGGTGAGTATATCCCAAACTCTATATTTTAACTGTACGGGGGTCGTGTTATATGCCCAGTCATCTTATACGCTGGAAAGTATGGTAATAGTTTCTTTTTGTATTAGACTGTTGAAACTACATGATAACAGTTATGTTAAAATAGTTTATAACAAACTGTATAAATTAAGTTTAATGATGGATAATTATACATATAACTGGACATTGGCATTGAAAAATCTGTTGGATCAACAAGGTTTCTCATTTCTGTGGTTGTCCCAAGATCCTCATTTGGTCGAAAGTTATCAAACATTAATTATAAAAGTGTGCTGCAAACAGAGCATACAAGAAGATTGGTCTGAGTTGGAAAAGAACAAGCATTTCAATTATATCATATTTTTAAAACAACTTATATGTGTGAGGATTATTTGTTTATGGACATAAATTATCAATCACAGTAACTGTGATTGATTTCAAAGAGTCCAAAATATCGGTGTAGGATCTGTTGTAGATTGTACTTTACTGAAGAGGGATTGGTGAGAATTCTGATCCAGAATGCATTTTAATAAAATATCTGAGAATTAATCGTCTTCTGAGTAGTTCTTGAACTTGGGTGAGTGTCGGATGAATAAACCGAAATGTTATGTCAGTTTATTTATTCGAAAAACCCCTTTTAAGTCGTTATAAAAGTAACTCTGAATTATTGATGGCAGACCCTGTCTCCAAGAATTTGAAACTTATGAAATGGCTGTGAAGACAGTGAGTTATTTACTCAGCATTTTTGAACTTTGCTCCACAATTTACATTTGCACTTATGTTTCATACTAATTTGTCTGTACTTTTCCTTAAAATTTTGAAGTCTTGATCCAAAGAGGATATAGTAAAGTGATATTTGGTGGTAGAAATTGATATTTTTAGCTGGAAGTCTGGATGCAGTGCAATGCCAGTTTAAAGTAGGGCGAGTAGCTTATATGGAGGTTTGTCTTCTTGCTTATGATATATTTAACTGCTAAGTGCTGTTGTTTATCACTGATTGGCTGTTTATAAAAATTTTAACTCATAAATGACATAAGAATGTGAAAAGAAAAAGAAAGTGAAAAGTACTCAAACAGGTATAACAATTGTGAAATTGAATGAATGTCTACAGAAATGTTTTTGACCAGCTTCATTGATGTGATATTATGTTAAGTGTATCAAAAAACATTTTCTGCTAATTATGGTCACAAGGGGCTTGTGCTTTCTACAGACTGATGTGAACAGGCAAACTATGAGTAAACAAACTCCTATAACAGTAAGTTAGCCAACATAAAAATTTTATTGTGTAATAAAATTGCATAGTTAAATCAATTTTAAGAACTTGACAGGGAATATATTAAAAGAAGTTGAGACATCAACTGTTGTGCATTTTGTGTGTATGTATCCATAATAAAGACTATGATTGAAAGAGATCAGTTATAATGAAGTTACATACTTTTCTTTTTATACCAGATAATGTAAACTGTCTGTTTTGGAGAATATCAGCTTTAGAGAGGTGTCTGTTAAGAGAGCTTTTTGGTATTTACAGTTTAATTATTTTTAAACTATCAAATTTTGTTATTATTGAGAAACTTTAATTAAACTTTAGGATTGAGTTTATGAATCCAGAATCAATATTTTCCATTTTCACTTATGTTTGAGATTTACATTGTGCAATTTATTGTAAATATCCCCATCCTTCATTTTAACAAATAAAAAGGGGGTAACATCGGTCCAATGTTGCTGATTGTCCATAAGTTCCAAAACTGCAGTCTGTAATGGCTAATATCCACAATTACATTACGAAAGAAACAGGAATTGACCCTTTTCTGCTTTTCTGAAGATGTGATAAAGAAAATTATGAAAAATAAGAATAAATAAACACACTGACACACAAAAAAAGGAGCAGAACCATGAAGCAATAAGAAGCACGTGTTTTCCGGACGATATTCCGACGATTTTACAAATTTCAATATTGAATATTTTGAATGAGATTTCCAACGGTTCAGCTGATTATGGTTTTCGAATGTTATTTAAAGGTTCTTACATCATAGCACATAGATAAGAATGATAATAAATAAATATTGTAGTGAGAAATGGCCGTAAAAGAGCTTAGTTCATGCATATAGTGTGCACCAAGGCAAACTAATCATATGAGCAACAAAGGAGTATTAATATCTTGGGTTGAGTTGTTTGAAAGCTGTTATCCAAATTTGTGGGAGCTCGAAAGTTGGGGAGTTGCACGATATGATAGTAGAAATGTAGAGTGTCTCCCAAATAAATAGCTCGTTTTGTTCGTTACAGCATTTCAGTAATTTTATTTTATTCCATAGAGGCCGGTAGTTGTGGCCGAGTACTTTCTTTGCTAATTCTGTAACTGGTCTGTTATTTTTGATGTCTTCTTGAAGTTAACTTAATTTTCTAGCAGTAGCTCCTACATAACTAGTTTCTTCACCAGATAGTGTGTGCTTTAGCAGGATTTGGTAGACACTGGATTTTTTGTTCAACTGGTACTTATCCCTATCAT